TGTCCTCTCTTTTTTCCTAGATAGCCATTTCCCTGAAGGAAGAATCTGTACATGACTCCATTCTGTATTTTGCATGACACCCGCACAGTGCTCTGTGTTTGTACATATTCAGTACACGAGTCTTAAACATCCAAGGAGTGGAAAAGAAAGTATGAATGTGTAAAGGAACCAGCCTCTGATATCAGTTCATAGGATGGTGATGGGCTGGAGGGAGAGATGTTTTTGAGGGGAGAGGCCTTCCCAGATACCTCGGCACCCATCTGGGAAAGTGAGCGTGCCATCTCCGTCTCAGTAGTAGAGCACTTGTTTCTTAGAAATCACACCTTTTGCTCAGTTGTACATCTCAGCAGGCAGGCAGGGGCACAGAGGGGAACATGCATGGCTTCCAGTGAGTTGGGAAAATGAGGTTAGGTTTCAATTCAGATAGTTATTTGTGTTTTCTGGGTCTGCACGGTCGATAAATTTTCAATGAGCAGTGATTCTGTTCCTCATCTTTCACGCTTTATGGTACTTCAGGGAATGAAAGCATAACATCCTGCTTTCCCATAAGTTCTCTGGCCGCTACCCTGGCACCAATTAAAGACATGTCTATGCAATTAATCAAAACCAATTTGGAAGCACTCTGGCGCTGCTCCTCTGATGTGCTGCCTGCTCCATATACAGTAGTTCCTCAGCTGCAGCCATGGAGCCAGGCACATAGGAGCTTTTGATGAACTAGCTGTACTGGCCCAAGTGTTAACTATGTCATCTGACATGACTAATGAGGCACCCAACTTGATCCGCGTGAGCAGAGCAGCCCTGCTGTCTGGAGGAGGCTCAGTTTCCACAGCCAGCCTCGGAAGGGGCTGCAGCGTGCATGGTACACACTCCATCATGTCAGCTGGAGTCCTGGAGGCCTCTAGTGTTAGAGCTGGGAGTCATCTACTGAGAGGGTGATGGAAACTGTGGACTAAGCTCTATGCTGGGCACTGGAGGGAATGTAAACCAATTTAAACTTCTAGCTCAGCCTCCTCGTTCTATAGACATGGAAACCAAGACCCAGCAAATATGTGGGGCTTGCTAGACACCTGAGCGTTGGGGAGAGAAATAAAGGAGAAGGGATGGTCCCTATCCTTGAAGAGTTAAATTATAGATGCTTAGAAAAGTAACAACTGGAACCTGATGCAAGTACACCTTACCAAGGGTTAAATCATGGATTTCCTTCCTTCATTCTGCAAATGTTTATTAATGGGAGGAGAGTGTGTTCTTGTCACCTCTGCAATCCCCAAAGCATGAGATCTGGAGTCAACAGATCCAGGTTTGCGTCCCAGCTCTACTTTCAGTTGATGTAATCTTGAGCAAATCACTTCATTTTTCTGAGCCTTGGTTTCCTCAGCTGCAACACTGGGACAAGCCAATTACTACTGCCCACCCACCCTACTTCCTAGAGTCCTGGTGAGGCCCAGCACAGTTCAGGTGTGTGGAAGTGTAAGCAAGAGTCTCTGCACATGTTAGTTATTACTCATATCATTACAGCCTCGAAGAGCTCCTGGCTGAAAGCTCTGGAATAAGGATCCACAGCTAGTTTTAACTCTCTTCCTCTTCCTGCCCCTTCAAAATGCACAGGAAAGAAATGAGTATAAAACCAACTGGTCAGATCTGCCTACAGTTTTAACAGTTTCCCCAGACAGTCCATGACACAGAAAGAGGAAGAATTCAGCCATTGTAATGTAATGTCTTTCCACACATTGATTGAGCACCTACCATATGCCAGATGTTGGCCACACTGTATAGGAAATCAGAGTTGGATAAGGCATGTTCCTTGGCCACTTTGAGAAGCTCACCAGTTAGTGGAAGAAACAGACAGGGACATAAATAACTATAGCATACTTCAGAAAAAACAATTGCCATGGGAAAGATACAAATCAAGTGCTGTGGGAGCCAGGAGAGATTGGGAAATGTTTCCTCAAGGAAGTGGCATTAAAGGATGGGCAGGTTTAGCTTTGTCAGGAAGCACGGGAAATCCTGAAAGGAATGCTCAGAATATAATCCAGTGAGGTATGAGGTGTGAGCATGAACAAAGGAAAATCACTGGGTCCCAGCTCAGGCATGGATGCTGCTGTTTCATTGTTCCCTTTGCTGGCTGGGGTCACCTTGGCCTTTCTGTCCTAATCAGAGAGAATCCCATACTGGTCCTTCCTCCAGCAAGGCTGAATCAAACCCCAGGCAGGCGAGCCATCAGTGAATGAACAGGGAACAGCAACAACCAATAGATGCAGAGCAGCTTGGCTGAGAAGTGCCAGTCACAGCCATACCGCCCCAGCCCAGGTGAGCGCTTCACATGAATGCAGCAATGACACCATTACCTGGAGCAGGATGACAAAGACCTGAAGCCTCTTGGCATGGGTCATGCTGGCTGTTTCTCTCCTTTCCTGCTTTGTCTAGAACAGCAGTTCTCAACCTGTGGGTCGCGACCCCTTTGGGGGTCAAATGACCCTTTCACAGGGGTCGCCGAAGACCATCGGAAAACACATATATAATTACATATTGTTTTTGTGATTAATCACTATGCTTTAATTATGTTCGATTTGTAACAATGATATTGGGGGTCACCACCACATGAGGAACTGTATTAAAGGGTCGTGGCATTAGAAAGGTTGAGAACCACTGGTCTAGAAGAAGCCAACTTCTTTATGAGTACTGCTGTCAGAGTAGCTTTGGAGGGCTGGGAGCTGCAGCTAGACTCAAGGAAAGGCCATGGGCAGCCCAGGGGCTCATATTTTCTGTCTTCCCATTTTTCACTATAAATTGTTTTTTATTGCACAAAGAAGACAGTGAAAAGTACATAAACCCTAAAATTAAGAGAAAGGAAAGAGAACACCTACTCACACATTATCTGTTTCCATTCCCCCTTGCCTCTTCCTGCTGTTGACTATGAGCATAATTATTATTTTTTTGGCTGCTTTCATCATTGATACAATTATATATTCTATTTTTATTGCTGAGAAGTATATCATACAGCTTTCTCCATTTAGTTGCTGCCAACCCCTGAACTCCACACAGACATGGCCCTGCTTCCCCATGACTGAAGAAAGATGCCAGGGCCATGTAAAAGTGGTACCTCATAGATAACATGGTTGTCACTGACAATTGGCATCCACTGACTGCTTTGCCTTCACATAGACCAGGGTTGGAATCTCAGCTCCTCTGCTTCAAATCTTGATTGCCCTAGACCAGTGGTCAGCAAACTCATTAGTCAACAGAGCCAAATATCAACAGTACAACGATTGAAATTTCTTTTGAGAGCCAAATTTTTTAAACTTAAACTATATAGGTAGATACATTGTCATTAACTTAATTAGGGTACTCCTAAGCCTTAGGAAGAGCCACACTCAAGGGGCCAAAGAGCCGCATGTGGCTCTCGAGCTGCAGTTTGCTGACCACTGCCTAGGCCCTAGACCAATCCCACTCGATCTCTTTGAGCCTCAGGTCCTTGTCTATAAAATGGGTATAGTATTAATACCACCCTCATGGGATTGCTGTGAGGATGAAATCGGATACCGGAAGGGAAATGCCCAATAAATAAATGGTAGTTCCCCTTCCTGTGCCCTTGCTGAGACAACCTACGGTGCACTCTACTTCTGCCCTTCCTTTCTTGCCCATCTTGGACCTTCTCTCCCATGGGGCCCAGGAGGCCTCCTGGGTGAGCCCATATAAATTCTGATAGGCACACCAATCTGCATATTTATTATTCATTGGATGAATGCACCATCTTTTACTTAAGTATTCTCTGATGGAAATGTTGGCTGTTTTCCAATTTTTCACTATTTCTAATAATTATGTAATAAATATCTTAATGTATACTGCTCATTCCATCCTTTAAAAAACGCCATTTCTTGCCCTAGCTGGTTTGGCTCAGTGGATAGAGTGTCAGCCTGTGGATTGAAGGGTCCCGGGTTTGATTCTGGTCAAGGCATATGCCTGGGTTGCAGGCTTGATGGGGTGGGCAGGAGGCAGCCAATCAATGGTTCTCTCTCATCATTGATGTTTCTATCTCTCTCTCCCTCTCCTGGCCTCTCTGAAATCAATAAAAATATATTAAAAACACACACGCATTTCCTTAGAAACAATCCCAAATAATAGAATCACTAGGACAAAGTCTAGAAACATCTTATGACTTCTGATGAGGTTTGTACCTGCTAATCTGCCACCAGCTGCAGGGAGAAGATCACTTGGACCACATTATATAGGCTCTTGGACTCTGGCCACAAATTCCCCTCTTACTTTGTTCCTCACCATTATCTTCCCCCCATGCCTCCCACTCTGCAGCCACATGGGACAACTCACTGTTTTCCCCTCAAAATGATGCTTCCATGCTTTTGTGCCTTTGTACCTCCTATTATTCTCCATCACCTTTGCGTGAGAATATCCTTCCTTTAACACACCCTTTCAGCTTAGAGTTCACCCTTTGTGAAACTGGGAACTTCTATGTTCTTTTCAAGACCCTGCTCAGATACCCTTTTTCTGCGAACTAGTTCCAATTCTCCCAGGCAGAGTTAGTCACTCTTGTTTTGTGTGATGCCAGAAGGGACACTTGGCATCCAAGCGGTCACCCAGAAATAGTCATCCCCTAACCTGAGCTACATGTCCAAATCTGTATGATTCTCCTCCCTCTTTCCCCCCTCCCACTTAGCACTGGGCAATTTCAATTTATACCAATTCATATCCTAGATATTCTCAGACTCACTTATCTCTGTCTCATTGCCATCATCATTGACCATCATCACCTCTCATTAGGATTCCAGCAATAGTTTCCTAAAGAAAAAAAAAAAGAGTAACATGTACATGGTTCAAAGGCCAAATTTTTCTCTAAGATTTTTAATAAATAACAATAGATTTCTTTCCCACATGTCCCTACCCCAAGCCCTGCTCCTTAGAGACAACTAGACACTTTCATCTCTTTCCGTTGTGTGTGTGTTTTGTTGTTTTTTGTTATTTACTTCTGTTTTCCAAATAATATACCTATATCGTTCTTGATTTTTAAGTTCAGAAATTATTTACTGACTTTGAACAATGGAGGATTTCTCTAATGCCACTTTTCTGCCCCATCCTTCAATATAATTATACCACAGTTTTTGATTAAATTGTTACGTGGCATTTACATATTATAATGATGAGTACCATTAAAAATATTTGCCTCTGAGTTGCCAGCATCCACTCCGGGACTGTTGCCCTTCCTGGTGAGGTCTGAGCCTGCTGGCAGAGGGTGGAACATTGAGGGACAGGGGCTTATGTGTGGGAGGTGGGGCAGGCCTGCTATTGGCTGGCAGGTGGTGGGCACCAGAATAGTCTCAGAATGGTTCCCATGCAGGGCTCCCTGGGCCAAGGTAGGTATAGCAAGCAAGACTGAGATAAGCTTTCTGGGGGAGCTAAAGGCAGTGCCCAGGAGGAGCTGGAGGCTGCTGATTGGAACAGGCAGTGACTAAGCCAAATAGGTGCTGTCTTTTCTAGCAAGGTTCTGGAGCCTCTGGTATGCCAGGTATTAACTCTTTAGTGGATGGATTCTGAGACAGTTAAAGTGCTAAGACAGGAAGCTGGGGCAGCTGGAGCATTGATACTCAGGGAGCTTAGGGGTAGCTACTATTTACTAACCACTACAAAAAAATTTCAACATTTTAACAACTAATACAGTCTAAGAGAATGAATACAGCCCTGTTGGCCCTGATTATGACTAAATAAATTATCATCCACAGCTAAGCTGTTGTAGGGTTTTGTGATTATATTTAAATTCTTGCTAAGTTTTTAGTTTTTTTCTAGAATTAACAATTGCCTTGCTGTTTTCTTTGGCTTAGTTTCTATATACCCATCGCTAAATCTTCTTCCAAACTCTTTGATAGAACAATATCATGACCAAATCAGGTAATTTCTCACTTCCAGCTATATACTAGGTACTGTGACAAGCCATGGGGACTCAACCGTGAACAAGGTAGATATGTCCTTGCTTTTAATAAGTTTGTAGTTTAGCAAGGGGTCAGATACAAGTAATTATAATTGCTTTAGATGCTACAATGAGAGAAGTATGGCTTCTATTGGAACACATAGCAGAAATACCAGTACCTCACCCAAATGGAGAGACAGGAAATATTTCAGACCTGAAGGATGGATAGAAACTATTCATTCAGACAAAATATACTTACTGAGTGCCTTTTACTTGCTGGGAATTGTCCTAAATGCTGAGAACACAGTACTGGACAACCTAGACAAGGTCTCTGCCTTCGTGGAGCTTACATTCTAGGAGTAGAGGCAGATAATAAACAGAGAACATAATTTTCAATAGAAAAAAATAAACAGGGTGGCATGTTGGCGATGGCCAGGGAAGGTGGTGGTGGTAGGGGTGGGCTATTTTAAGCACGTTCGTAAGATCACAGAAGGTGTTTCTGAAAAGGTCACATCTGACTTGATATCTGAAGGATGAGAATAGCCAGCTATGTGAAGAGCAAAGGAAAGACTGTTCCAAGCAGAGGAAACATTATGTGCCAAATCGGAGGAGGAGGAAGATTATAAGGCTTTAGAGAGGAACTGAAAACAATTCTATATGGCTGGAACATAAAGGGTAGAGGGCAGTTCCTACAGATAAGGGAATGGTTGTAAGCTACAGATTGGGAGCCTTGGCACCTCCTTATAATCTATATATATAAAAGCCTAAGTGACTGGCTGACCGGCCAGTAGCTATGGCATGCAATGACCACCAGGGAGCAGATGCTCAACGCAGGAGCTGCCAAGCTGCAGTGACTTGGCAGTTACGGTTCTCAGGTGACGCACCCAGAACCAGATAGGAAGGAGCCCGATTCCGGGGCGCATCACCTGAGAACTGCCCTCTCACAATCTGGAACCAGTTGGGCGATGTTGAAGAGCCAGTTTCGGCCCAATCCCCACAGGCCAGGCCGAGGGACGCCACTGGTGCACAAATCCATGCACCAGGCCTCTAGTAACCTATATAATAAAAGCCTAATATGCTAATGTCTGGTCGTCCAGTTGTCCATTCAACCAATCAAAGCATAATATGCTAATGATATACTAAGGCAGCTCAACCGCTTGCTATGATGTGCATTGACCACCAGGGGGCAGATGTTCCAACCGGTAGGCTAGCTTGCTGCTGGGGTCTGGCCGATCAGGACTGAGAGAGATGAGATGGATATGCCCTGGAACCCTCCCACGACCCCTCCCCGCAGCCGGCCCCACCTCCAATGGGCTCCCATTGGGGCCAGGGCCGGGCAGACCCCACCCATGCACAAATTCATGCACAGGGCCTCTAATTATCGATAAAATCCTTACTCTGCAGTTATTTGCCTGTTTGTTGTAAGATATAGTCCCAGTCTCTTTTCCCTCTATTTAGTATTTTTTAAATCTGTTTTTTATTTATTTGAGAGAGAGGAAGGGAGAGGGAGAGATAGAAACATCAATATAAGAATCATCAATTGGCTGTCTCCTGCAAGCCTCCTGCTGAGGATCGAGCTGGCAACCTGAGCATGTGTCCTTATGGGAAATGGAACCGTGACCTCCTGGTTCATGGGTCAATGCTCAATCACCAAGCCACACTGGCCAGGAAGTGTGGAAATGTGCAAGTTCCATGTTGTAGACTCCCTTGCCAAGGGAAGGTGTTGACAGGAGACTGAAAGACATGAGGAGGGGAGAAATCATTATTTCATCTGCTTTTTAGTGGTGCCTCCAGCAGCAGCAGCTGTAAAGGCCGGGTCTTGGGTTCCTCCTCAGCAGCAGAACCCCTAAGTCAGTACCTGCTGTGTGCTGGTTTCACCCAGTGGTGGCAGCACCTTCCTGATTTCCCTTTTCCCTCTCTAACCCTTCTAAGCCCTTTCTTCCTTGGGAAAACTTAATTGTAAAAGTGTAAGACCTATGTTAATTATCACTGTCCTCAAGTGCTTCAAGTGTGTATGTGCATGGATTTACTTTCTATAACAAATCACAAATAGTTATTGAGTGCTTACAAGAACTCAGACACTGTTTATTAAGACTCACTCAATTCGACAAGCATTATGTATTGCTACCATCTCATTTAATCTTTACCATAACTCTATAATGATATCATATTATCATCTCTATTTTACAGGTGAGGAAAATTATATTCAAAGAGAGATAAGAGCTTTGTTTAAGGTCATGCTGCTGCAAGATCCATCAGTGTAAGTGGTAGAGCTGGGATGGGAACCTGGATCTGACACAGCTATAGTCCTAGATCAGCCGTGGGCAAACTACAGCCCGCGGGCCGGATCCGGACTCT